CTCTTTCTTCTGTCACCCACAGCCCCTGCCCCTGGCTCTGTCCTGTCTACTCTTCAGCTCCTGTTTATACTCTCCAGCTACTTCCTTGGATCTGATGTTTCAGACTTGCCCTCATTCTCACTTTAAGACACAAATTCTCTCTTTTTTGATTGCTGAAACCTGAAGTTAGCCCTACCCTGCACCCACCAACACTACCATCCCCACTCACAGTCCAGTTCCCCCCTTAGTCTCAAACCACATAAACACAAGCAGAAAATCCAGAAAAAGGCATTACAGACGTCACTAGAATCTTAAAATGTCATCTGAGCCATTAAAACTGGACCTTACACCAGAATGCGCCTATTAGAAGACACTTCAGTTCATACATGTAGCTTACTCAACATTACAGTCTACAGAGTGGACAAACATAAGTCCTCTTTCGGAAAGTATAGGTTTTATAAGTATATAAAGTATGCTGAAAGACGAGATCATGCCCAACACATTCTGCAAAATAAAAATAAAACTATGCCTGATTACATATCCTTGATATATATATATACACACATATATATATAAAATATACATGTATATTGTTATTTATCCATATAAATATATATTGCCATTTACCCATTCACTTATCTGGCTGTCTTTATCTAGGCTTTGGGATACTTCATCCAAATACTTTTAAGTTGGAGATCTGTAATTTTCACATTAAACAAGGAGTTCTTTGGCAAAAATTGTTAACAGGTGCTGTTCTGAAGTAACACACTAGGTGGAGCATGAGAATTTTTAAAAAATGAAATTTAGTTACTAGTAAGAACAAACCATCTTAATTCAAGAAAAGTGAAAAATAAAATAAAATCTCATTTTCTCTGATTTCAGCTAAAAACAGAGACACATAATACAACAAAATACTTTTTAGAAGCGTATCTAAAGTATAGGAAAATGTTTTTAAAAGAGGTAAGAATTTGGAATCTAATTTAATTCTCCAAACCCCATTACTGACAGAGCAAAATGAAGCAGGCATCAGTTTTAGAGGAATAATGACTGAGGAAGGCAACAACAGGGTTACAAATAGTGTGTGCTTACGTGTGTGTGTGTAAGAGCATGCTTCTAGTTGGGCAACTGAACTAGTTTTTATCAGAGTAGAAGTGTCTTTCAACTCTGTCAACCTCTAGATTGCCCACTAGAATCTTGAGCAAATAATAAATGACTCTAAGGATTAAATTTCCTGTAAACAAGCAGGAGAAGAGATTCACACAGTGCTAGCAATAATAGGTGACATATATATATATACATATATATATATATATATATATATCTTTACATGTCTGAGTATTTTACCTGTGTGTATGTAATATAAATGTACTACATACATTCCTGATGCCCACAGAGGCCAGAAAAAGACATTGATTCCCCTAGAGCTGGAGTTAAAAGATGGCTGTGAGTCACCATGTGGGTGTGAGGAACCAAACCTGGGTCGTCTATAAGAGCAGCAAGTGCTTTTAACTACTGAGCCAGGCCTCCAGCTTCATAAAATAGCTTTGAAGAAAGTTGTTTTGTTTATAACCTTGTTGGAAGATTTTTATGTGGGTTAAGCTCGTTGACATGATTCTTGGAGGTTAAGCACATGAGACAGACATGTGTACTGCTAAAGCCCTACTATCTACTACAGGCTCAGAAGCTACTAATCTGGATTCTGTTGATACTGAAACGTGTGTTCACATGAAAAGCAACCTTCTGCAGGAGTCCACCTGTAAGATTTCACGTGAGGTTTTGCCAGTGCTTCCATCTTCAGTTGGCTATAAAACCATTGCTTAGCATATATATTGGTTTAAAGTTCAATATAGGGGGCTGGAGAAATGGCTCAGCAGTTAAGAGCACTGGCTGCTCTTGCAGAGGACCCAGATTCAATTCCTGGCACTCACATGGTGGCTAACAACCGTTGTAACTCCAGTTCCAAGGAATCCAGAAGTAAGCCCTCTTCTGACCTCACAGGCATTGCATGAAGCAGGTGCACTTACATGGATGCAGGCAATAAACTCATACACATAAAATAAAAATAATAAAATATTTTTTAAAATGTATCTTAGGTTTATATGGAGGGAATTTTGGCCAGACGCATGTACCCTCTTGATATTTTATTTAGCAAACTGGCAAACTGGAGTGCAGGTAGGTAAAAGCTCTGAGTTTGAGTCTCGAGCCCCACCTCCACCCCTCACCCCCACCCCCACCCTAACTTTTTTTTTTTTGAAACAAGGTTTCTATATCGCCCAGACTGACCTGGAAGTTATTATGTACCCAGGATGATCTTGAGCTCTGATCCTCCTGGTTCAGCCTCCCAAGTGCTAGGTTTCCAGGTGTGTACTACCACAGCTGGGTCAAAAATCTGTACTTTATACCAATTTGATTTATTTTTGACATCACCAACATGCAGATGAATAGAAAGTTCTGATTAATCATTTAAGAATGCTTAGGTTATAGATAAATTTGATTTGATTAAATAAAACGAGGCTTCATTTTATTTTGGACTTTTACGTAAACTATCAGGGAAACTAGCTCTAGTACTGGAGATAATTAACATGCTTCAAATAAGCCTTCAATCTATCAGTGATGGGGATTGGGATGTAAGATTTAATTTGGTAGACTAAAATGAGGGGGGAATCCAACAGTTTATTTAGCTATTTCCACTGTGTTCTTCCTTTTCATGGACTTTTGTGAAATGAGTTTAGCAAGGAGTAGAGTATACATGAATATTTCTATGTGATATTTACAGCAAAGCATTTGGACAAACCCAGTTGTGGGACCCAGCTAGAGGGGAACTGCATCAGTGGGTGGCATCCTTGCAAGCTGTGATGACTGTGGGCGAGTGTAAACAGAGAACCCAGCAGCGATGCCTCCCTTCTGCCTGATTTACAGGATGGAGCAGGACATTTTATATGCCATTTTTTTTTTAATTTAATGGCATTCTGAGTAATGTGTGGAGTTATGCAAATTGTTGATTCCAAATTTTTGACAAGGACCAAAGAAGAATGGTGCATGATGAATTTTAAAGCTCATTTGCATTTTAATGCCTATAACTGTATGTGGTTTGACAGCCACCATGGGATAGATAGACTAGTTTTGAATGATTCTATTCATAGACAAAAAGAGCTTGTTAAGGGATTTGCTGGGTGTCTCACTTCACTTTACTCACAACTCTGAGATTGGGACCCAGAGCTTTTAACCAGTAGACCAGTGCTTTCCCTAGACACCACAGTGAATCTTACAAGGCCCTGAAGTGAATTAGGGAGTGCTTACTTAAATTAATTTTATGATTAAAGAATTATATTTTGGGATGGGGATGTGGCTCAGTTGGTAGAGTGCTGGGTTTGATTACTAGTACCATATAAACTGGGTGTGGTGGTACATGTATAATTCCAGCACTCAGAAGGTAGATGCAAGAGGGCTAGCCGTTCAAAGTCATCCTCAGCTACATAGCAAGTTTGAGGCAAGCCTGAGCTACATGAAGCTGTTTAAAGGGGAAAAGAAAAGAAAAGAAAAGAAAAGAAAAGAAAAGAAAAACTATTTGGGTACATCAAAGGGGATTGTTTATTTACTGCAATCCAAGTTTTTAAAATGCCTAGTCAGCAATGAATTCACACATACACATATATGTAAGATGGCTCAGCAGTATTAAAAGTGCTTACAACACAAGTCTGATGACCTGAGATTACTCTCTGGGACTCACATGGTGGAAGAAGAGAACTGATTCCTGCAAATTGTCCTCTGACTTCCACAGGTACACTGTAGCTTACACACACACACACACACATAAATGTAAAAAAATTTTTGATGATAAAAAATGTGTTTCCCAAATGAAACTCAACAGTATATGATTTTTATAATTAAATATATATATATCCCATGTGTTGCCCAGAGATGCAACTAAGAAGATAGCCCCAGATAGTGATCACGTCATGACAGGAGTTGTTTGAGGGAATGGTCACATGAGAATTTTGAATAAACAAATATAATAAAATGCGAAGAGTGATCAGTTCTTTGGAATTTACTGCACTATTCTCTCAAATTTTCTGTAGTTTAAAGTATCTGTAAAAAAGTTAAGGATGGTGCTGGCAGATAGTGTGAGGGGACATTAAGGGAAACAAAACACTGATGATTGTACCTCATTGAAAATTCAGTGCCTAAAAGAAAGAGGTAGGGGCTGGAGGGATGGCTCAGCAGTAAAGAGCACTAGCTGTTTTTGCAGAGGACCTGGGCTCAGTTCCCAACACCAACAATGGTCTGTAATTCTAGCTCCAGGGGTCCAATGCACTACATGCAAAACACTCATACACATAAAATAACATTTTTAAAGTAAAAAAAAAAAAAAAGGTGTAGACTGATATAAATGAGATTTCTTTCTATTTGGTCTCAGGATTTTCATGACTTGGCCTTGTTTATATGAAACATTGGGTTCAGGAGCTGGAGAGATGGCTCAGTGGTTAAGAGCACTGACTACTCTTGCAGCGGACCCAGGTTCAGTTCCCAGTACCCACATGGCAGCTAACAACTGTCCACAACTCCAGGGGATCTGATGCCATCTTCTGACCTCTGTGAGCATTGCATGACATGGGTACACTAACATACATGCAGGTAATATACTCATAACACATAAAATTAGGATAATAAGAGATTATTTAAAATAAAATAAAGAAACATTGAGTTCAGGTTGACAGTGATCTTGCAACACACTGAGCAGAAAAAAGAGTAGGAGATACCTTTCTTGGAAGCGCTGTGGATGGAATTTAAGAAATAATCATGTTTGGTGGACTTATTTGAGAAAGTTCTTCCCTGTGACACAAGAGGGCATTCCCTGACAGCTTCACAGGAAGAATGTAGCTTCTGGACTGGCCTTAACCTCACTGTCTCCAAAGGTGACAACGTGTCGTGTGCTGAGATCTTGAATAAGCCATCTTCATCGCCTGCCTTCTGCCACAGCATTTGCTGTCTGGATGTTGATAGTCTCTTGACATTTGCAGGCACGAAAGGATGCATACCAGAAGACCCTACCGAATGGAGGCTGCTGAAAAATACTGCCTTGAGGATGACTTGGTCAATCTTGAAGTCCTAGACGAGGTACTGAATATTCAGTAGAGAACTGCCATTGATGACTTCTGTTTCCCATAGATGCAGTGTTCCTTCTCTGTTCCTTCTATTGTAGACCCCATTTTTCTAAGGTCATACAGTAATTTAATTGTATAGCCATGGAGAACTCGAGGAACATTCCATTGTTGTGCTGTTGTCCTGTGTGTTGTTCACTTACAGCCCTTGAAATGATGAGGAGAAAGGATTTGGCATTTTCTAATAAAGCTCTTTATGTCATAGACCTAGTGATGAAGTCTATCAACTTAAATTCTTTCCTGCTTAATTAAAAAAATTGCAGTTTACCCTAAAGGTAGTTGTCTGCTCTTTATAAGGAGAAGTTTCATTTATAGAAATAGTGAGTTAGCTGGTGTGGTGGCACATGCCTTTAATCCCAGCACTCCAGCTCTAGGGAGGCAGAGGCAGGCAGACCTCTGTGAGATTGAGGCCAGCCTGATCTACATAGCCAGTGCCAAGCTAGCTGGAGCTACAGGGAGACCCAGCTTCAAAAAGACCAAAGGAGAAAAAAGAAAAGAAAAAGAAAAAAAAAGAGAAATAGTGAAGTTAATAGTTTACATTCTAAATCTGAAAACTGGGATAATCCCTATTCAAAGCATGTGTAATTGTTTGGGGCTGCTAGTTGTGCCAGACCTGCTTTTGCTGAGTCTCAGCTCTGGGACCCTTGACTTTAACACCTTAATCACTAACATGTAACACCAAAGTGCTCAATTCCATATTCCTACCCCCTAGATTTTAAGTGTAATTCTTTGGCAAGTGAATCTACTAGGGCTGAAGTGATGGTTCAGTAGTTAAGAGTTGCTTGCTGCTCTTCCAAAGGACCCGAGTTGGGTTCCCAACACCCAGGAGATCCAACATCCTCTTCTGGCCTCACAAGGCACCTACCTGCGTGCGCGCGCGCGCACACACACACACACACACACACACACACACACGGTATATACACATAGATAAATTTCTTTTTTAAAAAAAGAAATTAATATTTTGGCCAAGTAAATAAAATTCTAAATAGTACATTTGATTGGATGAGACAAGATCCCCACCCCCAGTAATAACTAAAGTCTTTTTTGGCTATCGTAATGTCCACTAGCAGCTCTTAATTCTTTCAGCATATGCCAGTTATTGCTTCTTTCCAGGCAACTGTCAGCATCATTTTAGTGATTGAGAATCATTACAGGTCTGTGTAAGATTTAAATGGGCTGCTTTAATCTTTTAGATAGAAATGTTCTTTTAAGAATAAGTTTATTGCTATTTTTAGAGTCTCTGACTTGATGGATATATTTACTCTCAATCCCATTTCTCCTCCTCTTAGGATACAATTATTCATCAGTTGCAGAAACGTTATGCAGACTCACTAATTTACACCTATGTTGGAGATATTCTAATTGCCTTAAACCCTTTCCAGAATCTAAGCATATACTCTCCACAGGTAAGAACTGGCTTAAGAACCATGGGAGATTGAAAAAGACAAGGATTAGAATGAGGATATAACTTAGTAATAGAGCACTTGCTTAGCATTTACATGGCCCTAGGTTCAGTCCCTAGCACTGAAAAACAAAACCACACAACCAAATAAAAAGAAGGAAGTGGCAATAAAATGACACATTCCTTGGGCCAGTGCCTCCAAATTGCAGATAATAATGTAACACAAACATGATTTTTATCTTTGGGTGGGGGTAACTTCTTAAAACAAACAGCAACCAAAGCTAACAATTACTGAATACTTAGTACATGCCATGTACTGGGTTAGGTCATCATCCTATGAGACAGGAAAGATGTCAACATTAAACCTAATGGTAGAAGAAGAAACTATGTAGAGCAGTTGGTGCCCTTACTCAAACTCATGAAGCAAATAAATGGAGAACAGGGGTCAGAATTCAGGCTTGCAGACTCCAGAGCCTTACAGAGGCTGCTAGTCCCCTAAGAAGTGAAAAGCCTTGGTTTCCTGGTGATAGTCAAAGCATTAGGTGATTCAGTGGAACACTAGAAGTTTCCTTCTGAGATGTTTTTCTTCTCAGTTTTCCAGGCTTTATCATGGGGTGAAGCGTGCCTCAAATCCTCCCCACATATTTGCATCAGCAGATGCTGCTTACCAGTGTTTGGTTACTTTCAGCAAAGACCAGGTAAGGGCACATGTTCCTTTCCTACAAGGTAAGGCATGCTTTGTCTTCCTCCTCAATATGGAAGTCTAGTTTCTGAGCCTGGCTGGAAGAAGTGGGAAATGAAATTGCAGCGGGAGGGAACTGGACACTGCAGGCCATAGTGACGGGAGAAGGAGGAAACCCTCTCAGGACACGGAATGCACGCGAATCCACAGGACTCATTTCTCACATGAAATGTGATAAAGATATTTCTAATATGAGTATAATAAAACATAGAATGTTCATAGCCCAATGAAACAGCAATGGCTGTAATAAAAACAGTTTATAGAAAGCTGTAAATGAATTTCCCTCCTATTACCATCTCAAGACTGAGCTCTTTTCATATGAACTATTGCACTCATTTGACAGTGATCTTGCATGATGTCATTTAGCTGCTGAGAAACAGTGATGGGTTAAGACTGATAAAACTGGGGTATAGAGAAATAGCTCAGCGAGTTAAGAGCACTGGCTGCTCTTGCAGAGGTCCTGGGTTCAGTTCCCAGCACCCACATGGCTGCTAACAACTGTCTATAACGCCAGCTCTAGGGGATCCAACACCCTCTTCTGGCCTCCACGGGTATTGCACAAATATGACACATACATTCAGGCAGAACACACTCATACACATAAAATAAAAATAATCAAATTTAAAGATTGATAACAATAAGTTCAAGGTTAGCTAAACACAAACTTTGCTCATGTATTTTAACTGTCTAGACTTCTAATTACTGAGTGACATATCCTACCTTTGACCCTTCCTCTATTTTCACTAGATATATTTTCCTTTATTTCTGTGTTCTGTACACAAATAGAGGTGATCCAATTTGACAAGGAAATTTTATGAGAAATTTACTACATATGTATTTCCTGAGACCACTGAAGTCCAAACTTTTGGGTTTGTTATAGAATAAATAAAGTTATAACAATGCAATTCACAAAACAGCATTCATGGATTCACTGTAGATTAGAAACTGGGTATCTCCACATTCTTGTGGAGATTTATAAACTGCCCACAAATCTGTAAAAAGAAACAACATGGCTTTCAAGTTAAGATGTTGCCTATTGTGCTTGGGTTTTTATTATTATTATTATTATTGTTATTTTGTTGTTGTTGTTTCTAACACCAAATGTGTATGCTTTCCAATATTAATCAGTTTTTTTTTTCTGTAATTAACAGAGACCCCCACAGGTTATGGGGTTAAGTCCTACAAAACCGTCTTCATGTCAGGTGTGAGCCATGAATGGAGTACCTAGGTTCCCCATACTTCTGCTAAGCCAAGTTTAAGTTCAGAGGTTCCCATAACCCCCTCTTCAGGCTGACTAATTCACTAGAATTACTCACCAAATTCAAAAAAACACAATTTGTATTTACTGGCTTATTAGAAATGGTATAATCCAGGGCCAGCTACATGGAGAGATGTTTGAAAAAAGTGGGTGGAGAGTGATGGCACAAAGAGGGTCCTGCCTTTTCCCTTGAACACCCTCTCCCAACACCCTCCCTGTTCATCAGCTCCTATTCCTTGAATCTCATTATTTAAGAATTATAACTCAGAGAATAGGACTGAAATGAACATGAGCAGAGTACATGATATATTTGAAGAAACACGTCTTTGTGAAATCCAATACTATGTGTAATGCATATATGCTAATCAAATATTTAAATAATAAAATAAATTATAACTCAGCTTGCAACCTATTTCCCTTCTCAGACTATAGGAAGAGGGACTGAAAATTCCCCCCTTTAATCATCTGTTTGTGCTTTCTCATGACCATCCCCACCCTGAGGCAGTCAATCTGGTTCCCATGTGGAGCCATCTCATTGGCAACTGAGGTAAGGTTGAAAGGTTCTCCACTTGTACAAAAGATGCTGCTGCCACTCTGTCACTCGGGGAACTCCAAGAAGCTTTATGCCAGGAATCAAGGACAAAGGTCAAATACATAATTTTTATTTTGTAACATCCACTGATTTCTTTTATGTACAAAGGCCTTCTGAAAGTAAATGATTTAAAAAGGCCAACAATACAATAAAACAGGCAAAGGATATGAATAAAAACAAAAAGAGGAGTTGGAGCAATGACTCAGCGGTTAAGGGTGCTTGTTGCTCTTGCAAGGACCTAGGTTCTGTTCCCAACACCCATGAGACATCAAACAGTGATCCATAACTCTATTCCCAGACCCTCTTCTGGCCTCCATGAGCATTGCACACACAGGGCACACTTACAACATACAGCCAAAACACTCATATGCATAAAATAGAAGATGCATAGTAAAAGAAGTATGGATTAAAACTACACTGAGATCCCACTTTTACCAATCAGATGGGCAAAAATCCAATGCACTGTGTGATGGGCTGCAGGAGAGCTGCAAGTGCCCTGTGTGCCACCACCCTACCCCTTCACATGTCCTATGCATGTTTCCCATGTGGCTGGTCCTGGATTGTACCCTTTCTCATATGCCAGTCAACACAAACTAAGTGTTCTCCTTAATTCTGTGAATTATTCTAGTGAATTTGCCAACTGGTATGTATGGTCCGTAGCCAAGCAATACAATAATATCTACCAAATTTACAAATATCTTTCTTTACCTTTTGATCTAACAGCACTCCTTCTTGTAGTTTATTCATCAGATGAAACTACATCTAAATATAATGACTTGTGTACAACATTATTTATTTCAATATTGTTTTTAACAACAGAAGGAAAAAAAAAAACCCCAAGGACCCATTAGCTATGATATCATCAAGGATGGCATATCTGCACATTGGAATGATGATCCCCTGTACCAACTTCTCATGTGCTAGCATGGAAAGAACTCAGGACAGAATCACTGCTCAGTGGAAAATCAAGGCGCACAGTGGAGGATGTAGTGTGCAAAACCACAACTGAATACACAAGCTGTTTCTGTGCTATCATGTCTTTGAATTCCTCCCCTGACTCTCTATTTTCTATGTCAGTGCATTGTCATCAGTGGAGAAAGCGGCTCAGGGAAGACAGAGAGTGCCCACTTGATTGTTCAGCATCTGACTTTCTGGGGAAAGGTATTGAGCAACCTGCTTTATATATCATGGCTTGAAGTTGAAGTTCCCACAGAGCATATTTCATAACAGATGGGAGTACAATCTTTTATCAGGACTCACATAAAAGCATCTCATCCTGGTTATGTTTGCTCCTGATAGTTAGGCCTCATACCAGCATGCCATCCTTACTTCACACAGTGAGAAAAGTAATGCCAGCACGAATTTACTAGATTATTGGCAGTTAAATTTTTTGTTTTTAATATAATAGAAATATTGAGCCATTAAATAGGAAAAGTGGTTGAACATTCAGAATAAGATCAGGGGGCACCTGGATGGTGATTAAGGAGATGGAAAATGGAAATCTTTGAGCCAAAGTTAAGGAAAATGACATTTTCAGCCTTTTGAAATGGACACTGAAGGAATGACGACTGCAAAAATCATCTCACAAGTTGCCTAGACTCGGAATTAGAGTATTATGTGACTAAAAAAGAATTTAGAAGTCTTTTGTTTTCAAGTTGAGGCTTATTGAGGATCACAGTGGAAACGTTATAGGATTCTGTATTTAGAATTCTCTATAAACCTCTAAGCAGTAAACATCTATCAAAGACTGTGAATGAAGTACAGCGCGATTTTAAAAGTGCCGCCTACTCTAGCCGCTCTGATTCATGTGCACCTGGCAAGTTGCTCATTTAAGAAACCCATGCTGGCGCTTGCCACTAATTTCCCAAAGAGGAGTTCTTTAGAAAAGGACAATGGGCAAGGGTGGGGTGCTGGCAACTCTGTGGGAATACTGTTTCTGAAGGCTTCTTTGACTGTTGTCTCTTTGACCCAGGCCAATAATCAGACCTTGCGTGAGAAAATTCTGCAAGTCAACTCTTTGGTGGAAGCCTTTGGGAACGCCTGCACTGCCATCAATGACAACTCTAGTCGGTTTGGAAAATATCTGGAAATGATGTTTACAGCAACCGGAGCTGTAATGGGGGCAAGGATCTCTGAATACCTCCTTGAAAAGTCTAGAGTTATCAAACAGGCAAAGTAGGTGCACTACTGTTGGATCCCTGCATTCCCTCTGCAATATAAGCTTGCGGGATTTGGGACTTTTAATGGCTCCATTTCCATCTTTCTTCTGTACCCCGCCCCTAGGAATTATTTAAGCAATGGATCGATCTGTGGTTGTTTGTTTGTTTTTACCTAAAAACTGTGCAGAGGGGAGTGCGATAGAACACCTTGACAAAAAGCTGCTTAGGGGAGAACAGGTTCATTCTGGCTCACAGTTCCAAAGGGGAGATACAGTTCCTCATGGTGGGGAAGGCACAGTGGCCGGAGCAGGAGGCCAGCCAATCACATTTCATGCACACACAGGAACCAGAGGTTGGGAACAGGAAGTGGGGCCAGACTATAAAACCTCAGATCCTGTCTCCAGTGATGTACTTCTTTCAACAAGGCTCCATCTTCTAAAAGTTCCATAGCTTTCTGTAACAGTACCATCAACTGGGAACCAAGTGTTCAAGTACTTGAGCCTATTTGCATATTCAAACCACAACATGTTGTTTTAAGAAATACAGACAGTAGCCAAATTTGGTGGCACATGCCTTTAATCCCAGCAGTAGGGAGGCACACCCACATTCACTCCTCACTATCTTGGATGGAGGGCAAAGTAGAGCCCCAAGAGATCAAGGTCATAAGCCCAGGTCACAAGAGTACATGGCTCAGTGAGCTTGTTTGCATTATAAAAAGTAGATTTGGAGTGCAAGATTTTAGTACAGATTCTGTCCATATTGTAAGTCATTCTTTCACATATGATATTCATATCTGGCATACTGTTTTGCATCTCAGTGAATGGTATCACCAGCCCTGGGTGCTCAAGTTGGAGAACAAGGCAGACTCCAGCTCCCTTCCTGATTCCATTAGTTAGGATGTTCTTGGTTTCCCACCACCATGACTCTAGCCTCCAGGTCTCCTACTGGACCTCCCCATGTCTTTCATGGCTTCTTACAATCTGGCAACCACGCTGAGCAATACTTTTCTCAAAACAAATCTATGCATATTATGACACACACACACACACACACACACACACACACACACACACACAGAGTACACCACAGCTCTAGTTTGAAACACTTCAAAGAATTCTAGTTACTTAATCAACAAACTCCTTGTTCTGACCTACCAAGGCCTGGTATGGGCTGGCCCTGCCTCCATCTACCCTTGTCTTGCTGGCAGTGTTGCACTGTGTGGGTATTGTGCTCAGAGCCCTGTGTGCACACTTCCCTCTCTGTTTTCCATCTATCTTTGGTTCCTTGCCACTTCAAAGGCTTCAAGTCTTCACTTAAGGGTCTTTTTCTTAGCAAGTCCTCCTTCTGACCTGACATAAGTAATTTCCATTCCCCATGTGCGTCTTCATCATAGCCCCTTCCTTGTTTCTTTCAAAGTCCTCATCCCAAGTTCCATGCTTGTTTCATCTAATTCTGTGTAGAAAGAATGCTCCAAAAAGACATGAATCCTCTTAGTCCTGTATCCTTGGCATCCAGCACAGTGCCTGCCATAATTGGCATTCAGTATATGTATCAGTTGAATAAGAACCTTTAAAAATCTATCTGTATTCTGTATCACATAGTATACCTTTACTATGCAGAATGAAATTTATTTTAAATATTTTATTTATTATTTTTATTTTATGTGCATGAGTTTATTGCCTGCATGTGTGTAAGCGCACCTGTGTTGTGCAATACCCGAGGAAGTCAGAGAGGGTGTTGGATCCTCTGGAACTGAAGTTACAGGCAGTTGTTAGCCACCATGTGGGTCCTGGAAATCAAACCTGGGTCCTCTTCAAGAGCAGCAAGTACTCTTAACCACTGAGCCATCTCTCCCGCACTGCAATTTATTTTAAGTAATAAAAAATATCTAGGCATATTGGCATGCACCCTCTAATGCCAGCACTGGGAAAGTGGAGGCAGGAGAGGCAGGAGAAGCAGGCCAGACCCTGTATAAGAAACCCAGTGGTGGGGGCTGGAGAGATGACTCAGGCGTTAGGAGCATTTACTGCTCTTACAGAGGACTCAGGTTCAGCTCCCAGCATCGGGAGTCTCACAACTGCCTGTAACCCCAATTCCAGGGGATCTAAGAGGGTCTCTGCAGACACCTGCAGGCATGTGATATATATAAACTCACACAAGCATACATAGTGCAAGCATACATACTGCACATAAATAAAAATTGTTGAATCTTTTTAAAAATGGCTGGGGATGTACCTCAGTGGTAGAGTACTTGTCTAGAATGTACATGCACCTGGGTTAGATTTCCAGTGATGAACAAAACATATTAATAAAGCAACAAACTAATTTTTGATGAACAAATAATGAGAAACGACAAGCAGAGCCATCCAGAAGATAGCAATAAGGCAGGCTAAATGGCCAAAGGAAGATGAGGATGCCTGGAAGAGGATAAAGGAAAACTGGAACTAAATCACTGATGGGGAAAGGAGAGGAGGAGGACCAGGCTTTCCAGAGAGGGAGGCTGTCCAACAAGATTTCCCAACATCTAGGAGTGTCCTCAGGGTGCACTACCTTCTTCCGAAAGAGAGGGCTATGAGGTAGTACTCTTCAAACTGTGCTGAAGGACTTTCCAAAACTCCCCAGTCTGTTATGACCTAAGACAATGAAAATGAGTTCTTAAAAAATGACCATTTGCATGGTGTCGTAGTGCCACCACTTGCTGTGCAGTCTAAGCATGTGCTTTCCAGCTCGTTCTGTATCATATGTTGACACCGATGAACACACTAAGCATCAGTCTGAAAGGACCCTACGAAAGAGGTTGACAGCAGGAGACTATGGATACGACCGGGGGAGATGGCCCCAGAGCACCTCAGCTCTAGGACTAGTTCTCCTGTGACTGCTGTGTGACTCCCAAGCCACTTCCTGTTTGGGGCTCCAGTAAAGCAACAGATTTGGCTGATCTCTGTAGGCTGGAACTCCCACTATCTGAAGCAATAGGGGCTTGTGGCTCAGAGGCAAGGGCCCAGGAGCTGCTTGGAAAGGTAGCTGCATGTGAACAACCATACTGCTGCCTGTTTTGCTCTAAAACCTCCTCTGGTTTAAAGACAAGTGTGCTCAGTAAGGCAGGATTGTTACTGTATGAATTCTATAACTGTCATTGTTTTGTAATTGGGATGATGATACATATTAATTGCCTTAATATGCAAATTTGCTACAGAATAGTATTTTGCACAAAAAATTAATATAAATGATTTAGCTCAGGAAAGTTCAGAATAGATAATTTCCTCCTCACTTTTTTTCCAGGGGAGAGAAAAATTTTCACATATTTTACTGTATTTATGCTGGTCTTTATCATCAAAAGAAACTTTCCGAGTTCAGACTTCCTGAGGAAAAGCCTCCTAGGTAAGTTTTATTGTAAAACCTCTTGCTTGGGGGTTTTGATTGTTACTTCTTTTTTTTTTTTTTTTTTTTTTTTTTTTTTTTTTTGGTCTTTTTGAGACAGGGTCTCCTTGTAGCCCCAGCTGTCCTGGAACTCACTATGTAGACCAGGCTGACCTTGAACTCACAGAGATCCGCCTGCCTCTGCCTCCTGAGTGCTGGGATTAAAGGCGTGCACCACCATGCCCAGCTTGATTGTTACTTTTGAATGAATGTACAATTAACAATTGACAAATTCAGAAGTGAGTGGAGCTGTTTCCCTAACTGGGAACTGGCTGTCTACTTAAGTTAAATATGCAAGAGGAGGGGACAAAACAACACCTCACCACTTGCATTATTTTCTAGAAGGATCAAAAGCATAACTGCAGCAGTTTATCTCAGTGCCATGAACAGTTATTAGACTGTGAAGGAATCACTCTTGCAAAGAAGCCCGAATATCACCTGCCTGGTGCATGAGGTGCTGTTTTCCAAGTTAATGCTCACTGTGTTTGGTCATATCCCACTTCATTCAGGTATATAGCTGCTGAAACTGGGAGCGTCATGCATGATATCACTTCCAAGGACTCTTACCGAAGACAGTTTGAAGCAATTCAGCATTGCTTCAGGATTATTGGATTCACTGACAAGGTAAATGATTGTTAAGGGAAACAAGCTCAAGTGTTAATATTTTTAGATGAGTGTGACTGAAGACGTACATGTTCTAATGGGGCTGGACACTTTTCAGATGAATGCTGGGCATGAGATAAGGCATTTCTAATCAACATGTGGTCTGAGAATCCAAAATTTTGTCACCCTCTGATGTTGGAATGTAGATGCTCTGGTCTGTCCAAGAATGATTGGCTCAGACTCTAAACTGGAGCAAGATGCCCAAATGAACATCAGGTGTGAGAGGCACAGTTAGGAGGGCCACATGCCTGTTGACTGTTATCACTGTCATCAATTAGAATGAGATATTCCCCAAACAATATTGCCCTTTTCTGAGTTGAGGTGACTTCTGAGACTAGAAGTAAGGGAATGTGTAGGTTACACCTAAGCCTCAAAAATGTATGTATGCAAATAGCTCTTTGTGCAATATGACAAACTAATTAAAGCCCTTTCAACTTCCTTTCTGTCACTGCCTTCTCCCTGGGATACAGTTGCACATTATTAAATATCGCTGTAAGAATCAAACTATTTTGTCATCCTACAAACAGATGTCTCTATTAAATACATGGTAGGGCTAACACACAGTATTTATAACCTGAGGATCAAATATTATTCTGTGATACATTATGTCATAGTTTCAGGGCTTTATGCCATCAATTTTGCAAAAACATATAGATTCTTTAGCTTTTCTAGCAGAGGGGGTGCATGATTAGGAGGTAGGCTAGAGTGTTAAATCTTAAGGGATTAGATTACAAAACATTCCAGTTGCCTGGGGGCAACCACTCTAGATAAAGGATTGCTTCTGTAATCCATTGAGTTTGGCCAGCCTTTTCTTCCATAGCATGGTGGATTTTAATCCTAATAATGCCATTCTTTTTTTTTTTTTCTTTTCCTATCTAACTGTTCATTTTCTTTGTTGGCTTCCCATATACTATTAACTGACAGCTGGAGGAAAATTCCAAAATTCAGGATAAAAATAGAAATATATTTCCCAGCTTCTTTGAGAAGAGCAGTAAAACAAGCTCTTACACTGTTAAAGGTCTCTTATAGTGATTAACTTATAGAACTCATTTTTATCAGTTGCACACCATTAGAAGCATCAACACATGGTAGAGATGGAAATAGAGCTGTTTAAAGAACAGGCATGTCCCCAGCGTATAACAGGAGTATGACAGTATGGCACTGTGTATATGTCCCCAGTGTATAACAATAGTGTAATGTTATGCCACTGTGTGTGTGTCTCCAGTGTATAACAGGTGTGATAGTTTGTCACTGTGTATATCTTCCCTGGGTCCCACATTAATTCATTTGGAAGTAAATGAACTGAAATTGATTAGCAGCTTTGGAAATAGAAGGGACAGGCTGGATCTTATCTCTCTGACCCTAAAATCTGTGGTGTATCTCTGTAGACAACCTGTTCTGATCAATTATTTCACTTCACATCATGTTTTTAAAGTCACAGTAATGTGACTAAATTCAGAAAGACTCAGTTGTATGAAGTTAGGTTCAGATGCCAAATAGCTGAAGGGACTAAACTTTCTTTTATTATTTTCTGCCAGACACATCCAAAGAGCTGAGAGGAACTGGTCAATTCAATTAAAATTATATTTTCTGTCCTTTCTTAGAAGGTCACTAGTTCCCTGTAGGAATTCCTCGTTTTTTTTTTTTTTTCTGCCAAATTCTTATAGCAAAATTATGAGATGCGAACTTAAGTGTGGACTCAGGAGGATGAATTTGAATTCTAGGACACCAGCCAAAAGTATCAGAAGAACACTGACTCTGAGTTTATTATAAAGAAACTTCCATGGCAGAAGGAATCCTTCAGTAATGATGGTGGCTCTGAGCAGGAGGCTTAGAGGATTCTACCTTAAACTGAATTCTATATCTGGCACCAAACAGTGCTGTTTCAGCTTAATATTATGCTGGTCCTGTTGGCATAAACATTATTATAACATGCTAAATAAGTTGAGTTGTATTATTTAGAGCTGCATGAAAACTTGGATGCTGCATATGATGGTAGAGACTGGACATGTGCACAGATCCCTAGATGCAGAGGCCAGAAAAAAGCCTTGGCAGTCAGGGTAATATTTCTTCTCTTTCTTCAAAATAGATTATGGAGTCTCTGAAAAGAGATTTAAGAGTTATAAGCTAAAATAGAACTTGGGAGTCCCTAAGGATGGGATACCACTGACTTTAAATTTATTATATATGTGTGAGTATTTTGCCTGCATGTAAGTGCACCCCCCCACCCTACGCCCCCCCAAACCCCTGCCGTGAGTGCAATGCCTGCAAGGAATTGGAGTTATGGATAGTTCTTAGCTGCCATGTGGGTGCTGGGACCCAAACCCAGGTCCTCTGCAAGAGCAGTCAGTACTCCTAGCAGTGGCGCCATCTCTCCAGCCCCATGGGATACCACTGACTTTTAAGGAGCCAAATGTCATGAACCTCTGCAAGGAGACAAGATGTTGGAATCTCAGCTCACCCTGATACAATGTTTAGGGCAGAACTGGTGAAAAACTAAAGAAGCTTCCGGGAAAGAAAGAGAAAATGTAAATTTCTAGGGAGGTACAAGAGAGATAACTATCTGAGGTGACTGGGAGCCAGGCCAGAGATGATTTTAGAAAAGCGTTACCAAGTCCTTCTTAAATTTCAGTTTGACCTCAACACTGTCTAGGGATCACTTCTCTAGTAAATAAGTATTGTCTTTGGTGGAGAAAAGCTCTTTCCATTTTCACTGATTGGTGGTAAGACTGAATTCATGCTCATCAACAGTAAATTAAGATAACCCAGTTGGAGGAATGGTCAAGCCTTTTTTTAAGATTTATTTTTATTTTTATTTGTATACATACATGTGTATCTATATGTTGGTATATGCCAGTGTGAGTGCAGATGCCTGTGTGAGTACAGGTGCCCATGGACTCCAAGTGTCAGGTCCTCTGGAGCTGGAGTGACAGGTGGTTGCAAGCTGCCCAGGGTGGTGGGAACCAAACTTGGATCTTCTAGAAGAGCAGCAAGTGCTCTTAACCTCTGATCCAACTCTCCAATCCCTTGTTAAGCCTTCTTGATAATATGCCTCATTCTACATGAGTTTGTACCATTTTATAGAAAGCTAGTGGCTGGAAAGAAATAGTAGTAGTATAAAAAGACTCCAGAGGAAAGAGAGATTTCCAAACAGGCTCCACAGCTGTGGTGAGGCAAGGGAAAGCCAGAGAAGGGAGCTGAGAAAGCTTTCCCATTTCTCAGGAAGTTTGGGGGCAAGGTAGAGTCACACCAAAGACAGCACTGATGGAGCCCTACCATGGCTGGGTATGAGTGGTGTTTTGAACTAACATTGTGGTGGGTGGAAGCTTCTGGGTCAGAAAGGAAGATGTGATTAACCCTCAGGCAGGGCTAAAGGAGTCAGGCAGGCGAAAAGCCCAGACATATTGCATAGGGAGCACACCAAGGCTGAATCCTCTTTCAAAAAAGTCTTTCCCTTCACTGAACCAAGGAAGCAGGCATCAGCAGTTCACACAGTGTTTGAGCCTAAATGGAACTCAAGGTCACAGGGAGGTTTCCACTTTTGTTGGCTCCCTGAATACAGCATTGAAGAGAATGTGGTCAGAGACGCAACAGCGTGAATTGCTGGTCTCCAGCGCATGGTCCCCGACAGCCGTTTTCTTTGGGGCTAATTATCCCAACATTTGAAACTGTATTTGGGGAGGTGTCATGGTAGTACATGAAGAGCATGCGCATATTTTAACCAGAAGACCCTCACTTTTTCCTTAAGAGTATGGAGAGTTTTATATACCTCTTGAGGAAGCTGGATAAAAATATGGCAGATGTAGAACTCACTGCTAGAATCTCGGTTTCAAACTCTCAGATCTGCCCCTGTTCGGTGTTGCTTGATGCAGCAAGACACAGGCAATATTGATTAAAGTAATAAGGTGCTGTCGTGTTAAATTCAGGCAAGTCCCAGAAAACCCATTTGGTAGGTGTTCTCCTTAGTCACTTTTAAGTTGTGTGATTAAACAGAGATTCTTGAAGTCAGAAACATGATATCTTGTCGTTGATTTAGGAGTTAGAAGAACGATATTTATAGCAGAAGCCAGGCTTAGAATCCTCATTTGTCTTTGCAGCATTGCCAGGTATCCAGTAGATGGCGCTATTACAGCCTGAATTCAGTTTTGAGGCTTTACTGGGAAATGTCTACGAGGAGGCTCAGTTTGGAGGGCAGTACTTTATCACTGCTCTAATGACAGTTCCTATTTCTTTGCTGTGTATAGTATTAAATCAACCTGCTTGAATATTTTTTGTGGAAGTAAAATTTTATTATGATAAAATCCAGAAATTCCCTGACTAGATATTTCATTGTTTCACATACGGAAAATATAAATTTTAATGAACAAACATACATTATTTTTAGACCATTATAGACTCTACTTTGAATTTGTAAATAGGACTTAGATCACCTGAACTGGTTTTACTCAAATTTCTGACAACAAATATGTGAGTTTTTATTCATTTATTTTAACCCCATGTCAATTAATCTCTTATACCAACTCAAGGACCCACGATTCGACTCAATTCTATTATCTGGAGTTGGCATCAGATGCTATAAATTAAGGGCTCAGTCCCACAAGACTGCTCCCACTTCAGATGCCAGTGCTAAGTGCTAGGCCTTTTGCACCTCTGGTTATAAACTGAGGTTATGTGACCTTCTGCTTAGGCTTGCTAACCAAATGAAAACATGAACAGAACAATAGGCAGAATTCAGTGCTCCCATGACCTCTGGACATGACACGCTCCCAGCACCTCCAAGATAGGCCAATCTGGAAGCTCCCTGAAGGAGTTTTATGGAGTTTACACCACACATACAAGACAGGCTAATTATCAGTGATTAGCTTAATCTATAGCTCCTATCCTTTCCTCAGACAGAGTTTGTTGGGATGAGGGGGAGTAAAAGTTCTAAGATTCGGTCCTCCTTGGGCAATCAGCTCCCCCCATCTCAAGTCTCACCTAGAAGTCCACTAAGATTCACCTTATTAACATAAACTCAGGTACTGTAGAAAGGCACTTGTCATCCAGACAATTTTAGAAACTCTTGTGCCAGGTATTGGGGATAAAGGACCAAATATTTATATTTCTTCTTATATCACAATATCATAGACCATTTCTAGTAAGTCTTTCAAAAATGTTTCCTCATGGGGACTAGAGGGATGACTCAGCAGTTAACAGCACTGGCTACTCCACATGATGGTTAACAAGTGTCTCTAACTCCAGTTCCAGGAGATCTGACACCCTCTTTTGACCACAGGCATTGCACGACATGATGTACTTACATACATCAGGTAATATTCTCACACACATAAGATAAAAATAATAAAATATTTTAAAAATGTTTCCTTACTTTATACATAACTCTACACTATGTTGCTTAACTGAGATATCCTAGTAAGCCATCAATGGATGCCCTCCCAAGTATTTCATAAAAGCTACTAAAAGGGACATCTATTCTCTTGTTATGAAGAAAGGACCATCTCTAAATTTGGGAGCTGGTATTAATTAGGGTAAAGGGCTGAAAAGTGGTTTAGAGGACATAGAAGGTCATTTCCCCCTTGATCACCATTCCAAATAAAAAGATTTGGGTTACAGAGCAGCTCCACTCCTGTGATCTAGCTCTGGTCTAATGGCATGGTTGTAGCCAGGTTGCTAGGAGTTCTAGCCAGCAATAGTGAGAGAGAAAGCACAGAGAAATGTGTTCATCTCCTAGGGCCTGAGGAAAACATCATTCTGTTTGCTTCATTGTTAATATTTAGTGACATTACCATTCCTAACCCACAAGGAAGGTGGGGACAGTTGTGTGTGTTCAGAAAGGAGAACAGACTTTGATGGACAACTGTAGTCCTTTTAATCAAAGGGTTAATGATTCATTGGTTTGATTGGCAATGACCTCCAAACATGGTTGTCAATGTCCTTTTCAGGAGGTGCATTCTGTGTACAGAATTCTGGCTGGGATTTTGAATATTGGGAACATCGAGTTTGCAGCTACTTCCTCTCAACACCAAACTGATAAAAGTGAGGTGCCCAATGCTGAAGCTTTGGAAAATGGTAATTATTTGAAAATTGTGCCCTACTACCAAAGTACATGCATCTTTTACATTGGTAGTTTTGCAAGAATCTGTAGAATACAATGCAGCTGTTGCAGATCCTTCTAGTAGGTCTACATGTTTCTACTAAGCAGTATTTCCTAGATGTCCTGCATTGCAAATAGCTGTTCTGCAGAAAAGTATTCCATGCCACGTACTTTTAGTGGTTGTCAACCTTGGCTGCTTTCAGAAATCATCTATAATTTTTTGGAAAAAAACAAAAAGGTTATGAATCCATCAATTTAGCATCTGTAGTAGAGAAAGCAATGCCTATTTACTTGTAAAGTTCCCCTGGCAATTATGGTGGAACAAAGGATGAGAATTCTAGGGTTTTTTTTTTTTTTTTTTTTTTTGGGTGCTGGGATCTGAACTCAGGTCCCCATGCTTAAGTAGCACCCTTACCCACTAAGCCATCTCTCCAGTTCACTTTATCATGGTTTTTAAAAGTGAAGATAATAGCAGTGCCCATCTTACCTGAGTGTGGTCTCCTATAGACAGCCTATACTTCTTGGTGACCAGCATAGGGTGGTACCTGAAAAACGACATCTTTAAACCTGCCAGATACAGTGGTGTGTGCCTGTATTCCCAACATAGGAGGCTGAGACAAGAGAATGTAGAGTTTGAGAAAAGCCTGGTCTATATATAGTGAGACCCTGTCTCAAAATTGTTTCTGATTTATATAAAATCAAAACCTTCCTGCATTAAGCTGTAGAATGTTTTAGGGTCTTTAATATTGCTAGTGTGTTCCTGACTGTTTATTCCAATTTATTTGATAAAAGGCCACTTCTTCTCCCTTCCACAGAACCCCCCACAACATCTTTTTCTCACCAAATATTTGTGAAGAGCTTTCAGAACAGTTCTGTGTCAGTGCATTCCACAGACTGTTTGGGTTAGGGTCCTTGCTTGCTTGTCTTGATTCTAAAGCACCTGAACACGGTAGATGAGATGCTATAGATGCTTTGCTGATACAGGCTGAGTGAAGGGGGTACACATGTCCAGGGTCATGTTTACTCTTTGTTCCAGCTGCCTGTGTGCTCTGCATCAGCCCTGAAGAATTGCAGGAGGCCCTCACATCCCACTGTGTGGTCACTAGAGGCGAGACCATTATCCGCGCCAACACCGTGGATAGGGCTGCAGATGTCAGGGATGCAATGTCCAAAGCCCTGTATGGGAGGCTGTTCAGCTGGATTGTGAATCGCATCAACACCCTCCTGCAGCCAGACAAAAACTTATGGCAAGTCCCCTGGGGAGCAGAGGCCTTGAGAGAACAGTGCTACACCATGGCTCTTAAAGTCTGCAAGAGGGAGGGTTTGGTCTACCTGAGTTTTTTTAGCAAAGTGCTCTAGGCTTTCAACTTGGAAAGCAACAGTGGGAGCCAGGAGAGTTGAAGTGTTTCCACTAAGGGGCGAATGATTGATGGAATCTTTGGAGTGTAGATGGAACCTTTGGAGTGTAGTGTTCAAGGGAGGAGGCTTGGCAGGGAGCTGTGTAAACCTGGTTCATGTCCAACTTTTGCAGCTTCCTCAGCGGCGTTTTCTAAGTCACACATTCCCCTCTGTACAGTGAAGTTAATATGTTCCCCTTGCGGGAGTCTTTAGAATTAAGTGAGACATTTTATGAAAAGCTTTAAAACATAGAATCTTACAGTATTCTATGACTCCTTTTACCCCCTGAGCTTTAATGGTTTTCTGTATCATAGAGGAATTGACAAAGTTAAATTTTGAAGCATGATCCTGCAAGTAGGTTTTGGGGATAGGTGGATGGAAGAATGTATAGGCAGAAAACACAACCCCTTCATTTGATTTGAATATGGAGCTTCTGAGTAGATATTTTGTTCTATTTTTTTAAAGATTTATTCATTTTATTTTATGTGTATGGATGTTTTGTCTACATGTACGCATTTACATCGCATGCATGTCTAGTGCCTGGTGCCTGTGGAGGTTAGAAGAAGGCATTTGATATCCTGGAACTGGAGTTACAGAAAGTTAACAGCTGCCATGTGGGTGCTGGGAACTAAACCCAGCTCCTCTGCAAGAGCAGCCAGTGCTCTTAGCCACTGAACCATCTCTCCAGCCCTCTGTTTTATATTTTTGAGGGAGGGTCTTTCTCTGTAGCCTAGGCTGCCTTTGAGCCCTACACCCCTGCCTCAGCCTCCAGAGTGCTGAGATTACATGTATGTGCCAGGACATACAGTCTGGCTCTGAGTAAGATTTTAAAGGAGGGAGGAACATTGTTGAAAGTTTTAGGCTGCTGTCTTGGAGGGGCAGGAGGCAGCTTTCTGTGAGGGTGGGCCACATGCTGGTGAATACTTGGACTCACATTGTCATTGTCTTGAGAAAGATGGAACTTTTAAAGAGTTTTCTTCCTCTTGCTCATGTAGCCGTGCTGAAAATGGGATGAATGTGGGGATCTTGGATATTTTTGGATTCGAGAATTTTCAGAGAAATTCCTTTGAGCAGCTCTGCATAAACATCGCCAATGAACAAATCCAGTACTATTTCAATCAGCACGTGTTTGCTCTTGAGCAGGTAAGGGTTAGCTCTCCAGCTACCAAGCACGATGGGGGAAGGTGTTGCCAGGCTGCCCATAGTTTGAATCAAAAACATGGTTAGTCAGGCCATCACACAAAAGACTGCAGAAAAACCACTGGCAAGACAGTTCTGTCAAAAGAAACAGTCTAAATTTAGTCTGGAAAAAAAAATCTCATTTCTGTGGAAAGGTACATTTCCTCATGAGTGGAGCAGGTGACAGGCCAATTATTTAAATCTTACTTCAAAATTGTTTCATGCATATTGTTGAAAATGTTTCATTCTCTTCTATTTTGTCTAAAAATATCCATAATGGTGTCTTAAATGGTGCAGGGTGATCCTGAGCCCAAGACATGGGTTAGCACCCACACCATCTTCATCTCTCATCATCTCTGCACCAGAGACCCAATAATAGAGAGGTGTCTCCAGGGAGGAATGAAGTTATGTCCTTGAATTTCTAGATATGGAAGTCTTTTTCCCTCAGAGTACAATGGTAAATCAATAGAAAGAGAAGCTAGTGGCCCCCAGATGCCAGGCTTTCCTTTCCTGCGCTAGTACTTTGCTCCACCTGAGCCATACGGAAACCTAAAGATTCCCTTCTAGCACAGAACACAGACTTCTAACCAGCCCTGAGGGTACTAAGAGATCATTTCTGGATATCAAGGGACACACAGACTATACTGTCAGTGAGTAAACACAAAGACACTGAAGAAAAACACTGCTGGGATTGGTTTACCACAGGCTCTGGGTACACCTGCAGAGGACTCCTCCCTGCTCACCTTGCGTAAAACTTGACTTCATGCCCATCCTGAGTCCTTCCATTTATCTCCTTGGGAAATCTGCAGTTTTTCTAGTTTTCTGGTTCTATATGCTTCTTTTACAGAAGAAAGAAACAACTTAAAACATGTTAGTCACCAAAATGACGTTTTGGATTCAGCCCCACTTACTTCCTGCATGAATTTCTAAATTATGAGTTCCCAAGTCAGTGTTGGGTAGACAGCTTTTGCTGCCTTGAGCTGTCTAGAACAGGTTACCTGTAAGTCACACACACACAGCTTCAACACTGTGACAGGCAGAAGAGTCCTCTTCTGTAGGCCCAGTACACTTCCAGTTACCTACATGGCTCAGTGTTGCCAGACACCAAAAGCCCAGGCTAAAATATCCTCCTGGTACTGAGACCAGTTTCAGGTGAGACAGTCACAGTCCATTTCCCTCCAGATGGAGTATGAAAATGAGGGCATTGCTGCTGTCCCTGTGCAGTATGAGGACAATCGCCCACTGCTGGACATGTTCCTACAGAAACCCCTGGGCCTGCTTGCACTTTTGGATGAGGAAAGTCGGTTTCCCCAAGCAACAGACCAGACCCTGGTTGGTAGGTACCAGAGGAAAAAGGCACATATACCAAGAATGGAAATTGGTGCTTGACAGCAAATGAATGTGTTTAAGAACGAGTTTAGCCTTCTTTTGGATACCTGGTGGGTTGTAAAAGTATAGACCCTGGGGCTGGGGTGATGGCTCAGCAGTTAGGGGCACTTGCTACTCTTGCAGAGGACTTGGGTTCGGTTCTCAGCACCATTATCAGGTGGCTCATAACCACCTGTAACTTCATTTCCAGGACATCTGACACAGTCTTTTGGCCTCTACGGGTACTTGTATGCATATGTTGTACATACAGACAAGCAGGCACACACACACTTATACATAAATAAAAATTTAAAATATAAGACCCTGTTTTTTAAATGAATTGCAATGTCCTTGTGGAATTTGTGGCTTCTGGTAAACCTATCGCCGTCCTTAAACGACAATTCCCTAAACACTCCCCATCTTCCTGTTCCTACCAGCACAAACATTATTTCTTCATATTTACATCATTTTTATAGTTTCTGCTCCCTTAGTTCTCACAGCCAGTACTTACCCTCCCTTCCTTTTTACATTTGATCTTAGCCAGAAGTTTAAGAAGTGATGCGTCTCATTTTCTTTGTAATCTTGTCTCATGTCCCCAGGACCCCTGTCCACTGCTGGTCCCAGAGAGTGCAGGAGCCCTTGCAGCCCCCAGGTGCCCAGACTCACAATACCCTCTCTTCTGTAGACGTCCATGTGGGGTAGCCTTTCTAAAGCCACCTTTCCTTAGCTCACTAGTATCTCCTGGATAGAAAGAATGTTATCCCCACCTGGCATTGAAAGTCCTCTACTTTTCACATTTATTTATTTACTCTGTGTGTGAGTGTGCCTGAGAAAGTGTGTGTGTGTGTATTTGTCTGTGAGCGTGTGTGTATGTGTGTGTGTGTCTGAGAGAAAGAGAGAGGGGGTGAATGTGTGTGTGTGTGTGTGTGTAGTTCAGAGGACAACTTGTGGGAGTCCTTGTCTCCTTCTACCTTGTGGGTTCCAGGGATGGAACTAAGGTCATCAAGCTTGATGGCAACTGCCTTGACCCAATGAGCTATCTTGTGGGCCCATGCCCTCTGTTATTTCCATTGTTTCTCTTGATCTTCCTCTAGAATCTTCAGTTTACATGAGCTTTGCTCCTCGCCTATACTGCGACGTTAGAGGCCCTGGGGCCCCTAATCCTTATGTGCCTTCAGTGCCTAGCACAGTTCCTCACACTAAGCTCTCGGTTATAACTGTGGCAATGCAAAAGCGTTTATGAGAGAGTAGAAAGTTTCAAACCTTTTTTTTTCAAATGGAAAATAGATTTATGAGAGAAATGTGGCATCTTAAGGCCCAGCCTGGCACTAGTTACAGCACTAAACAGCTAAAAAAAGATGAGTTGTATTTGTCTGACCAGGGCTGGTTGGGCTAGTTAATGCTGGTCTACAAGCCCTTAAGGATTCTATGTCTCTGATGGCTGGAGGAACAGATTTTTGTTTGAAAGAGCAGGCAGTTCCTGTTGTTACTCTCCAATACGAAAATCTGCACTGATAAAATTTTTTAAAACTTTTTATTTAGTATTCATACAGGCATATAATGAGTTTGGGTCTAATCTATCCCCATTCCACCCCCTCTAATTCCCTATCTTCTCACCATTTCCTTCCCAACTCTCTCTCTCTCTCTCTCTCTCTCTCTCTCTCTCTCTCTCACCCATGGAGCCCAATTTATGCTGCCCTTATACTCCTGAGTTTGGAGCCATCCACTGCAGCAACCAGGGCCACACCCTTAAACAAAACTGACTCTCCCTCCCCAGAAGCCATCAACTGATCATAACTCCTCAGTCGGGGCCCCTCCCGGCTCCATGCTGAAATGTTGACTGGCTGGATCTTGTGCAGATCTTATGCAGGCAACCACACCTTCTCTCTCTCTCTCTCCTCTCTCCTCTCTCCTCTCTCCTCTCTCCTCTCTCCCCTCTCTCCCATAAAGTCCATTTAGTAATGCCTGTCTGTACATGGGTATGGGACAATCTGCTGGAGCATAAGTAGCCATAACCTTGAAGAAAACTGACTCTCTGTCCCCCAGAAAACATCAATTTCCTGTAGCTCCTCAGATAAGGATAGAATTTCAAGAGTCCCTCCCCCATCCATGCAGGGACTTTGGTTGACTTGATCTTGTACAAGTCTTATGCATGCAGTCTACGCCACTATGGGTTCATATATGCAATGGTGTTGTCATGTCCTGCAAATACTGTTTTGCTAAAGGAAATCTGCTCTCTCTGGTTCTTATAAGCTTTCTGACCCCCTCTTCCACGATAATCCCTAAACCTTGAGGGCAAGGGGGTGCGATATAGATGCTCCATTTAGAGTTCAGTACTCTGCAGTCTCTTATTCTCTGCACATAGATAAATTTGAAGATAACCTACGCTGCAAGTTCTTCTGGAGGCCCAAAGGAGTGGAGCTCTGCTTTGGCATTCAACACTATGCTGGACAGGTGAGACAGGCATGAATTGTGGGATCTGAGAGTAACTAAATTGTCTGTGTCCAGCTGTGGGGCTGCTCTGGGAACTGCTTGCGGACTTCACCCTTGTTTCGATGCTAGTCATAATTCCCAACGGCCTCAGTGGTACTGCTCACAGAAGTTGCCACACAAGCAGCTTCTCACTGGGAGGGCAATAGAGCTGCCACCTGCCTTTTGCCAGCAGGCTGGTCTACCACTGACAGCTCTCCAGAGAGGAAACATCACAGCCTTTTCAGTGTTTGGTGGTAAATGTTTATATTCTAAAACCATTTCAAGATGTGTAGGTGATACTACTACAATGCTGTTTTTAGCACTTTCAACATATGTCCACAGGCCACCAGAAATGTCCAGATGAAAGAAAAAAAAATCACTCCATCATCCAGATATTAAGCTTTTACCACATAAACTGAAATTTCTACCTTTCACATATCACGCTTCAGTCTCAATCTAAGTCCCTAAAGCTGTTTAGTGACTGATTCAGGATTTCTCTAGTCCCAAAGCCCCATGACTCATCACTGTGTTTCTCCCAGAGGAGTCAGTTGAACTATGACCAGTTGGTTCCTGTGAGGTTTGTTGGGGCCCCAAACTCAGAAAATTAGTAGGAGCTGGATGAAAGGTATTTGGGATTGTTTTGCTGATACATATTGCTGTCTGGTCATGGAGACTAATTTTGTCCTCCCGTCCTCTCTGCCTCTCATCCCTGTCCTCTTCCTCTCACCTCTCTATCTTGTCCTTTTAGACATATTTTTCCTCCTATGTACTTTTTCTCCTTTCTTGGATTCTTTTCTCTCTGGTTTCTGTGTTCTTTGCTGAATTCATTTACCACTCAAAGTTTATTTGTAGACAAGGGGTTTTTAGAATATTTCTTAAACTACCTCTAAGCCAGCTGGGCATGGTGGTACATGCTTTTAATCCCAGCACTTGGGAGACAAAGGCAGACAGATTTCTGTGACTTCAAGGCCAGCCTAGTCTGCACACCGAGTTCCAGGCCAGTCAGCAATACATAGTGAGACCCTGTCTCAAAAACAAAACAAAACACTAAATACCTCTAAGCTGGATTACCTTGATGCTGAGAACCAAGAACCACTCAGCATCCTGGAGTGGTCACTGAGATCCCTGAGAAGCAGTGAGGATGCAGTGATCATGAACTAGAAGCCCATCTGCCCAAGTATGATGCCAGCCCACCACTCACCTTATTTGGCCTCTTTCTAAGTCCCTGCTTGTCTACCAGTAGAATGCAGTTAATAGTATCTACCACATAAGATTGATGATTTGCCACATGGTGAATGCTCAGTTTATTTTAACAGTTATGTGATTTATTTTTAGAAGGACCCTTTTCCTCAAATGTAACTGGATAAGAAGCTAAGTTTACCCTGTATCTGGTACTGTGGGGTCAAAAGCCTGACTGTGACAAGATATATAGTACTGGGTAATAACTACCCAGACAACTCACCAGTGTCACCAGCCATGGACAGTTGCCTTGGCTAACTTGCTACTTCGCTGTCTGTGTTGCAGGTATTATATGATGCCTCTGGGGTTCTTGAGAAAAATAGAGACACCCTCCCTGCTGATGTGGTTGTAGTCCTGAGAACATCGGAAAACAAGCTTCTACAGCAACTGTTCTCAATCCCTTTGACCAAAACAGGTACGTGGGAAGCCCCAGTAGCCCAAGTCCTGATGCCTATGCAAGCCCAGGGGGGATTCTTCCAGTCAGTATCTAAATACTGTCATGGCTACACTAACAGTGAACTTCCTTTAAGCAGGGGTAGGAGGTCTAAGTTCAAGAAAAGAAAGTAACCATTTCTCTTGTAAATGAATAAACCCCACAGAAGAATTATGCTTGCATGTACATGCACAAACGCATGCACATATGTATACATACATTTTCCATATCATCTGTTAGACTTTCCATTTTTCTGCCTCCTTTTACTCTTCCATTTATAAGACCATATGTGCTGGATAGCTTCAATTGTCAACTTAACATACCTAGGTAGAAGGAGCCCCAACTGATGAATTTCCTCCATTGGATGGGCCTGTGGCCATGTCTGTGGGGCATTTTCTTAATCATTGAGTGATATGGGAGGGCCTAGCCCACTGTGGGCAGTACCACCCCTGGGCAGTTGGTCCTGTGTTGTCTAAGAAAGCAGGCTGAGCACAGGCCACGGGAGCAGGCCAGTAAGCAGCATTCCTCTTTGGTCTGTGCTACAGCTCCTCCAATTTTCATGCCCTGAGTTCCTCCCTGCCATCCCTCAGTGGAGAGATAAGATAAAATAAATGTTTTCCTCCCCAAGTTGGCATTGGTCAGGGTTTTTATAACAGCAATAGAAAGTAACCAAGGTACCATATGTTATCATTCATTCATACTAAGTATTCTAGGGTAGTCTCATTTTGCCTAGAATTACTGAGATTAGTTCTCTTCATGTATGATTATGAGTACAGGGAGTATGGCAAATCAGCTTGCCTGATCATGAGATCTTCAGAGTTTACCTAGTCTACTTCCCACCCAAGTGTCAAGCCCACCATCCACCTCAACAACCTGGAACATTCCTGGTTTCACTTGCTGACAGTGAGCTTGGGTTGTCGCTCTGTTGATCATCATGCCAGGAAGTGGGAAGCTAGGGCCCCAAACAGGAGTTTCCAGTTTGCCAAATGGATTCCCATCAGGTCAAGCTCCTTACTTACCTGGAGTCTAGCTGTCTTTGGCTGGGCAGCCAACTTAGGCTGTCATAGCCCTGTTTTCAAGTCTTTGTGTTTCCAGGGCTGTGTCTGGAAACAGCTTGGGTATGTTTTTAAGAGTGGGAGAAGCCTCTTCATCATCTCTCATTATTTCCCTGCTTTCCTTCCCTTCCTTCTCCTTCTTTCCTTGGCACCCAAATTATTGACACCCAAATCTAGCCTGGAACCTTTGATAGAAATTCCAATCTTTCCAGTTACCAAGTTTGGTTTATAGTAGCATATAAAACATGCGAGGTAAGGGAGCTGGAGAGGTGTCTTAGTGGTTAAGAGCACTGACTGCTCTTGCAGAGGACCCGGGTTCGATTCCCAGCAGCTACATGGCAGCTATGAACCGTCCTTAACTCCAGTTCCAGGGGAATCCGAAGCCCTCTTCTGACCTCCATGGCATTGCACGACACGGGTGCACTCACACACATGCAGGCAATACACTGATACACATAAAGTAAAAATAACAAATTTTAAAAAACATGCAGAGTAATGAAAAGCTTGGTTAAGGAGGAAATAGAGCTATAGCTACAAACTTAAATTCACCTTAACTTGAGAGGAACGTTGAAAGCAAGCTCTTAACTTTCTTCAACACGCTCCTACAGTAGCCAGGTGCCTGCGGGAAGGCTGTTGCCAGTTTCCTCTCTTGATGTGTCTTGCATAGAGTCAGGATTAATTCATTACAGATTCCCAGGGGTTTGAAGGCAGGTGTGGGCAGAGCTGGCTGATATTTCCCCACTGGAGCTCAGGGATATCGGCAACTCTGCGGCTGATTTTTGTGCAGAGGCAAAATAAAGGTAAAGGCCGTTATTAACAGGATAAATAGTCTCTGAATTAAAATCTATCCAATGAGTCTTCAGCTGGCACTTGCACTCTTCCATAAATATGAATAATGACATGTCAGATCTGGTCACAATTTGGAATTTTTTTTGCTTTTCAACCTGTGGCAAAAGAAAGACAAGTTTGTGTTCCTGAACACTAGGTGGCTCTGTGCAGAAAGTCGGTCTGCTTTGAGCATCTGTTGGTTTTTCCTAGGGCTACGTAAAAAAGCTGGAGGAAAAGCAACAGAGCCTTTTCCATTTCTTAATTTTGACTTTTAACTTTACTTCCAAAGAGCTTGCAACTTTTTCTGAATCTTGCCTGGAAATAGAACCCCACATATCTGGAAGAAATAAAAGTGAAAAATGACTAGAAACAAATGTGATACCCCAGCAAGCTTTGTAGTCTGAGTTCTGTACTACGCAAGCAATTTCTTTTAAAATCATAAGCTTACATTTTAAGTATTATTAAGAGCCACACACAAACATTAGAAGTAATAAGCATAACCCTATTTATTTTTCTGGACTTATTTATACAAAAATGCATTTAGTTAACAAATACAGAAAAGCTGCTGATAGCAAGGTAAAGTTGAGACAAGAGGTAAGCAACTAGAACTTTCTTGTGCCATCACTTTCTATCTGGAATTGGGCATTAATTTCTAGCCTTATAATGATAGCTTCCCTCAAACCTCAGTCCAAAAGTGATAATGCATCCTGCATTGAATGATAGGATAGGATGCTAATTAAGCTTGTAAAATTTTAAACATTATCCACCCACATCTGTCTGTCTGTCTGTCTATATAATTGTATTATAGCCTTTAAAAGGAAAACCTCATTGGACCAGAATAAGTTACATTGTTTTTGTTGATATTGAAAGTGTTTGCCTCAGGCTCATGCTTGGCCGTTTGAAGGAGGAAGTGGCTACACACTGCTGCTTGAAACAAGGTCCCACGACTTGACATTTTGAGAAAGAATATGTATAATAATTACAGTGTATGAAAACTCATTTTGGTCATTTTAATTTTTATTTATCATTCTTCAACACTTAAATAATTGTCTTATTAAAACTAAATCAGAGGCTGGCAAGATGGCTTAGTGAGTAAAAGCACTTGCCACCAAGCCTGTTGACCTAGGTTCGATACCCAGGACCCACATGGGGGAAGGAAAGAACTAACTCAAGGTTGTCCTCTGACCTCCACATGCATACTGTGGCACATGTACACCCACACACGTACACACCCACATTAAACAAATAAATAAATGAAATTAAAAACCTAAATCAGGTGCTAGTTCAGTGAGCATTGATATTATGGACAATCACTTTACAAGCCCTTTTACAGGATGAGCTACAAGGGAGACGAAAAGAAAGATTAGCATTGAGAAAACTTGGGGGATACTAGCACAAAACTCTGAAAAGGGGGCTGGATTTAGGTTTCTCAATGTGGAAAGAAGAGGACATTTGTTAAGAACACCCATAAGAGATAATTCCATTTTTGTCCCAGCCTCTTTCTCCCTGTGCTGATAGTATTACCCTTAAATGGTGAATGTTGCTAAAAATCAACTTGCTGAACTTTGCAAGAACTATGCAAACACCAGCCCCATGAAGCAATGCAGTAGAGGCAAGGACTCTGCCCAGGGAGAGCCACGTGAGGACAGGAAGCAGAGTGGCTATGGTGGGCAGACTATACTTATTTGTCAGAAAAAAGACTAAAAGTACAAAGACTGGGCTGAGGTTTGTGTATGCTGAGCCCAACTATGATCTAAAAGACTGCTGGCTCTTGAGAAAGGTAAGCATTCCGAACTAGGGGAGAGAAGAGTCAGGCGGTCTAGGTCTAAGCTGCTTTTGCTATGAAGACAAAAAGTCATGAAGTTATATTAGTTCAAAAACAAAAGCAACAAACACAGATATGACCCCCTAAAGGTTGTTGACGATGTTCTGATACCCTGGGCCTTTTCTCGATGGTGGGTACCTAGACATTGGCTTTATAATCCTCATTATTCTTTGCACACTTTTCTGATGTGCATTCTGTTTCATGGTAATATGGGATTCTGCCGAAAGTTAAGGAAGGCCCCTTAGAAATGCAAAGGAAAACTTTAATTTTATTATCAAAGAACTCCTTCCAGGTAAGTTTAGGTTTCCTCATAGTTAGACTGCTGTGTCCTTTGTGTTCAAAGCCACGCAGCAGAGGGCCCCCGGGCTGACTTTCTAGTCCTTTCAAGTTAGCCTTTTTATTGGGCTGTCAGGCGAAGTACACTCCCTTCATTGGAGGATATGAAAAAGAAGTATTGGACTTGACTTCATTCTTATCAAGGTTGAAAGCATCACCATCTGTCTCTGTGTGTAACTGAGTTAGCATTCCATGACTATAACAAATACCTGAGCTAACCAACTTAAAAAGAGAAAAGGTTTATTTTTGGCTCATGGTATTAGAGGTTTCAGCCCATGATCAGTTGGCTCTGCTGTTTTGAGCCTGGTGTAGCACATCATGGCAGGTTTTCCTAGGGGAGCAAAACTGCTTATGTTGTGATTAGGAAGTACAAGAGAGAAAAAAAGACTAGAGTCCCTTGGGTACATGCCCCAAGACCTGAAGACCTCCCACTAATCCCCACCTCTTAGAGGTTGTATCCCTTCCTGATTATGCCAAGCTAAAGACTAAGCCTTAATACTGGGCATTTGGTGGGGGTGGTGGTGGGGACATTCCACACCCAAGATACAGCAGCGACTATACTATAAAACAGCTAGCAACCATGTGGCATTTCCCTACTTCTTGCCCCAAATTTCCATTTCTCATAGTACATTCCAGACTACTGAAGAGATTGAACATAAGGAGAAAAATAATGAGGCCTGGAGTGGTCACTCATGCCCTCATGGCCTATAGCCCCCTCCACTGGCATGTGCTGCATTCGCTGGGAAGATGCCTGTGGCTGAAGAATGCTTTCATTCCAAGGCTCCCAGTCACCACTGGGTAGACAGAGGCAGCTGCAGGTGGTGTGGATTCTCTCTTCTCTCATTGTGAGACGTTTCCCAAGTGGTAACATCTCCTTTGTAATCCTTCCTATTGATTAGAAATTCTGGGGCAATTTTATGGGTAAAAATTGGATGTGG